GGCAGTGTTGAGTCTATGGGCAGTGTTGAGTCTATGGGCAGTGTTGAGTCTATCGGCAGTGTTGAGTCTATGGGCAGTCTTGAGTCTATGAGGAGTGCTGAGTCTATGGGCAGTGTTGAGTCTATGGGTAGTGTTGAGTCTATGGGCAGTGCTGAGTCTATGGGCAGTGCTGAGTCTATGGTGCAGTGTTGAGTCTATGGTGCAGTGCTGAGTCTATGGGCAGTGCTGAGTCTATGGGCAGTGCTGAGTCTATGGGCAGTGTTGAGTCTATGGTGCAGTGTTGAGTCTATGGGTAGTGTTGAGTCTATGGGCAGTGTTGAGTCTATGGGCAGTGCTGAGTCTATGGTGCAGTGTTGAGTCTATGGGCAGTGTTGAGTCTATGGACAGTGTTGAGTCTATGGTGCAGTGTTGAGTCTATGGTGCAGTGTTGAGTCTATGGTGCAGTGTTGAGTCTATGGGCAGTGTTGAGTCTATGGGCAGTGTTGAGTCTATGGGCAGTGTTGAGTCTATCGGCAGTGTTGAGTCTATGGGCAGTCTTGAGTCTATGGGCAGTGTTGAGTCTATGGTGCAGTGTTGAGTCTGTGGGCAGTGTTGAGTCTGTGGGCAGTGTTGAGTCTGTGGGCAGTGTTGAGTCTATGGGAAGTGTTGAGTCTATGGTACAGTGTTGAGTCTGTGGTGCAGTGTTGAGTCTGTGGTGCAGTGTTGAGTCTGTGGGCAGTGTTGAGTCTGTGGGCAGTGTTGAAACTGTCGGGGTCGCTGGCCCCCGAGATCCCTCCCTCGATAATGCTAACGGCCGGGCTAACATCGTTACTCGCCCCCCCGCTGCTAGGCGAACCGCTGCTGGGTTCCTCACCCATGGGGTGTGAGCCGTCGCTCGAGGATTCCTCCCCAGCGCGGGTCCGCGTCGTAGGCATGGTTAGATACCGAGTAGTATTATGCCCCCTTTACGCTACCACGATACCTCCCTTTCCTAATCGCGCACCTGCAACCCACACGGAGCGAACGTACGCACACCCACACACGCAGCTCCGTGCACTCCAACTCAACCCTGACTACTCACGTTATGATCGCGCACCTGTATCATACACGGAGTGAACGCACGCGCACACACGCAGCTCCACACGCGACACCCACTCTCGCGCCGCTCTGTGCAGCGCTCCCACGAGGCGAGCCGCAGCACCACCCGCGTTCACACTGCTCACGAGATCACACGAGGCCACGATTCGCTATTAATGATTTATTATTTGCTACCTGGAACTGGTTGTGGAGTCAGTATGGGTCGACGAGGCTGGCCTATTCTACCACCCCTCTATTTATCGGCTATGATCCTAATTCACCTTGCTACTCACAGTTAGGTGCTCACGGCGGTCCGTTGATCCCTGTGCCAGCAGCGTACCTCGATGCGTCGCACGGACGTCCGGGTCGCTGGACTGGAGAGCGTCCTGTCGCCTGGCGCTGGAGTGAGTCCCGATCTCTCCTTTGCACCCCGTTTTTATCCTCCCTACATCAAAGGGATGCGGCTCTGAGCGGGATGGCGGCCCTCAGCTGTTCCTTAACAATGGGCTCGCGCCCGCGAGCACGTGCACGGCGGTTCCGGGCGCCTTTGATATGCTAATCAATGTGCGGCGTGCGCGGCGTAAATTCTAATTAATCCCTTTCTCACGCAGGCCTTTATTATTGCAGATTATGCGGCGGCGTCCATCACAAAGGCTCGCCGTGGGAATCTGTGTACGGGCCCCCCGCGTGCCTCCCCTCTCCCGATCTATTCATACTTTCAGCCACCGCTGCCACCAGATGTAAAGTAGGAGCCGACACCAGATTGCAGGGGTCTCGTCCTTTATTCCTTTCCTTCCATCCACACCTGTCCCCAGCCGTCCCAATCTCGTTTCCCGCCAAAGGCCCCTTCTTCCCGCCCGTTCTCTCCTTATATCTCTTCGATCACCCCTCCCACTAACCCATCTATTGGTGGGAATCCTTCCCCTGACACCCCTACACTAATATCGGAATGAAGAGCATTCCAGAGGACCGCTGAAGTGCACCTAAAATGCGATGACCGTCCTTGTTCGATGGCTTGCCAAAATCCATTGCAAGGATGACCGGAGTTCGCTCTGATTTATGAATATTGATAACATACCAATTGTTTGGCTGTCAAGGGGGTGGCAATTGCCTTCACCCCCCCCCCCCTTGTCCCACCGTCCTTCCTTCCTGATCTGGCACCAATTGTCAGACAGCTGATTGTTTACGAGCTATTCATGCATGTGGGGATGATGGCGCTGCCACGTTGTAATGGTTGGCACACTGGGCCTGCAATCCAGAGGTGACCGGTTCACCCTCACATTTCTTAATGCCCCCCACCCTCACTTCTGCCCGCCCGCAGTATAAATGGCTACACCACAGTCGGTCGATCGGCGGGTCGCGTGTGGCGGAGTAAAGTAGTGTGGCTTATGCCCATCTCCTTTCAACACGAGTCTAGTCGACGTGGCGGAGTAGGCCCCAAAAACTCTCCGTTGTAGTTCGCTCTCGCCAGCGTTGGCGCGATTCGGCACATTTCAGGGTCCGCAATCTTTGCAAAACATTTTTTCCCACTTTACCTCCTATAGACAACGAGCAAAACAAACAAAAAAACCTCGACATAAATTGTCGCGCAGCTTGTGACCGTCGCCAATTCGTGCTCGCTTCCTTGACGCTCCCAGGCTGGGCGTACCGCTTCCGCGTGGCGGCGCTGAACGCGCACGGCGAGAGCCCCTGGAGCGTCCCCTCCACGCCGTTCTATCTCTCGGGCTCCCCCGGGGGGGCGTCCGCCTCCCAGCGAATGCTCGCCGCCCCCCACATCTCCGCCACGAAGGCCGTGAGCGACACGTCCATTCGCATCACCTGGACCGTACGTAACTATTTCAACGATCGATGACGACGATGACGACGATGATGCCGGAGAGCGCGGTAGTACTTGGTCGTAACAACCGTCTCGTGTCAGTGGTTTGCGGCAGGTTCACATCCCTGTCTGGGAAAGACGGTGAAATGAGTGCCTCATTCGTGGGATGCCAGTTGTCATGTGCAATGACTGGCACCCACCATAGGAATGTTTAAATCCAACCAAGATGTGCTGGTTCACCAGAAATGCCCCAAGCTCATCAGAGCAGCGTGGAGTCAAGTCAAAGGTGTGCGGCTGCGCAGTCACTTGCTCTCGCCTCCGCTGTGTTTGGTCTCCTCTTTCACGCCGACCAGATGTCTCGGAAGAGTGTTGGAGTACGCACACTTTACCCCCACCACTTGGTACTTGCTGATCGTCTAACTGTGGGGTTCCCTGTTTAAACTGCTGGGAGGACAGAAGCAGGTTGGAGGAATTTTAGAAACTTGCTCGATTTGTTTCTAACTGCCGTTCCGGGAGATGGAGCAATAATTCTCAAGTAGAATGTTGTGTGTGTGTGTTGAACGTCTTTCGCACCGTACGTAGCCAACCGTGATAATCGGAGGTGCGATTCATGATGATGAGAGTGGTGCGAGGATGATTGAAAAACTGGTAGTAATGGTGGTGATTATGGCGATGGTGATGACGGTCACAATGCCGACGACGACGACGAGGATGATCACGCTGATGGTCGTGACCCCCCCCCCCCCCCGCGCGCTCGTCGTGCGCAGTTTGCGTCTGCCGCAGCTCCGGCGCAGCCCGTGCAGAAGGTGACCGTCTACTACCGCCCCACCGACTGCGACAACGAAGAAGACTACCACAAGAAGATCCTGCACGGTGAGCGCCTCGGCGGCATCCGGCACGAGCCACCGCCGTCACATCGGCTTAGAGCTCTGCGGGATGTTTAGAGTTTGAGGGACGTCACGTGTGAGCGGCCCTCGCGCTGTGCAAGTTGTACGCAGGTGAACACCGTTCCAGCTACAGACGCAGCCTTCCTCGGTTTAGTGGCCTCAGGTTCGACGCAAATTCGCAGTAAAAAAACAGCGCACAAATGCGCGCCGCTCGTAAGCAGTCAGAAGGTGCGGCTTCCCCGTCTTGCCGTGCACGCGTGTCATGTGACCGCCGCTGTCAGCTTTGTCGAGGCTGCCACCTCAAGAGAGCTTAACGTGGTGGGGCCGTACAGTTGTTTAGATCGCCAACTCGAATGTGAAATGTGGCCGTCCCATTTTGTTGGCATGGGTTTTCTCATAATTTCTAGAAAGCGTTGTAAAGAGAGCACATGCATTAGTATAACGGTCTGAGTTGTATGACGTGTGCATTGTGGGTACTTGCCACAGTCATTTGAGAAATGACTGTAATGTCTTTCAGATTTCTGTTTGTGTATGTTGTCCGAGCTTGCACTGTGGGGAGCGGTGGTGCAGCGGTTAGCGCGCTGCACGATGAACCCAGCGATACGGGTTCAATTTCTGCTCACGGCCAACACCAGTGACAATTATCTGAACCGGTCCTGGGCCTCCCCGAGGTCAACTCGGCCTCAAATGAGTACCTGGTGCGGTGTGTAAATATCGCCACTGGGGAGAAAAAGGCGGTTGGGAGTGGTGCTGGCCACCCACCCCCTCGTGTGCCGTGCCGGCCTTCATAGATGCTACTCGCTAGCAGCACTTGCCCCTACAATCTGTTAAGGCCATTTTGGGGATCTTTGTCTTTATGTCTTTGTCTAGCTTGCACTAGAATTCAGATTCATTTCTTTAACCAGGTTAGAGCTCAAGAGACCAAGCATAGACCCATTTGCAATATAAAGTACAGCAACGAAGCACGTGCAAATCAGAGCAAACGAAACACGTCTACAGAAGACGTAGCGAATACTGCACGAACATAATTCACTGTTCAAGAGAACAAGTCCCCTGTAACTTTCATTCCGAAACAAAGACTAAACCAAACTTAACATTTTATCAGGTAAGGCCCATTGAGCTACATAGCTCAACGAAGTGGCCAGCGACCTGACCTCAAATGATGGCTCAACGAAGTGGTTTATCATGTGGACATTTACAGCAGCCAAATACTCTAAATGCATGTTTCCAAATGTCGAGGGGAAAAACCCGAGGACCTGGAGAATGATCCACGCAACCATGGGGAGAACATGCAAACTCCAAATATGTCGGCGTCAGGGTCGGGATCGAACTCACGACCTCCTCTATACCAGGTGAGGTCGCTAGCATCTCGCCATCGAGATGCTCATAGTACAATCACGTTACAGGAGCGTGAAGATATGTCATGCCGTAGCTGATTGACACGTGGCGTGCCGCGTGAGTCACGCGTCACGCGTTGGTCGAATTGATCCACGTTCGCCGTTTCACCCCAGGGAGCAGAGACTGGCACGTGCTGAGCGGACTTCAGCCGAAGACGTCGTACGACATCAAGATCCAGTGGTTTAGCACGGCGGGAGAGAGCGCGTTCAGCAACGTCATGATCTGCGAGACGAGAGGTGGGCGAGTGCGGTGTCCGTCGTGTTGTCTTCTCATCAGGGATGGACCTCATTTTAGTCTAAGTCAACATAGTGGAGGCCAAAGTCAGTTTCTGACCAGCAATAGAATCAGACCCGAGTCACTGAGATTGTAATGTACGGTATTGCATTTACTATCGGGCATTCAATGATCCCCTTCCTGGCAATTCTATGAAATGTTCACAATTTGGGGGTCACGGTTTCTGTAAAACAGTGTTGTTATTTTGGTAAATGTATCACTTCTAGTGGTTGCAGAGTTTACGATGAGCCAATTAAATACAACATATACGAATTTAAAAGAATCAAAGCTCTCACACGCAATTTGATCATTGTATCATGATTGTGAGAATCAATTTAAATCGAATCCATGCATCGTTACACGTCTGTGAAACATCACACAAACCTTGGTCTCAAGGACAGCGGCAACATGCGCTTATCACCTCTCCACACACATGCAAACACCAGACACAAAAAAGCATGCCCATTCACACACCAATCACCAACAAACTAATCTCATCGTCTGTTTGTTTAGCAAAGAACCGTCCCCTGGCCAAAAAGAAAAACGCAAACCACATGGTGGCTGCTTCCTAACGTGGCCGCAATGCTCGTGCACGGGGGGAGGGGGGGGGTACGACAGGCGCAGGGGGGGGGGGGGTGATCGAATGTCTCGTGGCAGCGCTAACGCCGCCGCCGCCGGCTCTGGCTACAAGAGACACACACACGCACAGAGTCATCGGTAATGGCGCAAAGGTACAATGCACGGGGCCATAAGCGACTGGAGTTGAGTCCGGCTCTCTCGCTGCACTGCGGAGGGGTGAGGCAGTGTTCATTTCTCTTCGAGGCCATTATTGCCATCCAGCAGTGGATATTCTACGATAATATGCTACGGGCTCGGTTTCTATACATGGCAGCCACTAGTGGAGTCTCACAAATTGGTATGGAGTGTATTGACCCTCGATGGATGATGGACGGAGTTAAGGACCCAGCCCCGCTCCCCCGAGGCAAGCACTCTGCCGCAGTGGCATCTGGCTGGATAACAGATAACTTTGACAGCAAACACGCTCATGGTGCTGATGCTGGTCAAGATCAAGATCAAAATATGCCATCGTGGCCAAAGCAACAATGGTACCAGGCCTAACCAGAGCTTTCTACCCTCCGCCAGATGCTCGTAACCATCGTGACGACAGATGAAGATGATGATCAATAATGTCATTTCTGTATTATATTATCACCATCACTACCATGAACATAATAATCGCCACCACCTTTGGCGCCATCACTTAGATCCAGAATTTAGACCATATTCAGCCAACACAATGGGCAGATATCTTGTTGTGATGCTGGATCATGAGAGAGATAGTCCCGCCAAGATTTCACCCGCAGCGGAGATGTCTAAAAGGAATATTTCTTGGCAAGCACACAATGTGCCTGCTGGCAATGTGTACGAGTCCAAAAAATGGTCAATGCAACGCATTGTTTTAATTAATATAGAGCTTTATGAAGGCTGCCACATTTTTGGGGCATTACGAACAGGGCATCAGTGTTCCAAGGAGGCATATTTTTAAAGCAACAAAAAAAAAACGCTTGAAGAGGAAGCTGCGAGCTTTTCCTGCACCGCTGTTTCACCGCGCATGAGCCACGCTAAGCTACACCGGTGCCATGGCAGGTAACCGCCACGCTCTCCCTACGTTTGTTTTCAAAGCTGAGCATATTCGCACACGTAATAACAACAAAAACACGCATTCGTCAACAGCACCATAGCCTGAAAAAGAAAAAGGGCTATGACGGGCGATGTTTGGGGCATTTGCCCTCCTTCACAGCACACATAGCGGACCAGAGAGGTGGAGTGCATAAGAGTTGGAGACATCGCTTCATACGACATGCTTTGGGTTGTATATATCGCCTATACACTTGATTTTAAATGTTGACGGCCACAGTGTTATTGACAAATGTGTTGCGTTGTTTGCTATTTGTGCTTTGGGCGCCACTGCCGATGCACTATGAACAAACAATCTGCTCTATTTGTGCACGTGCAGTTTGATGGCTCAAGCCAATACACTGTCAGGGCCAAAAGTGTTTTAATTTTTTTGCTAGACGTTATATACATGTTCTCTCCCGGGCTACACGGCATTATTTAAGTACATTAATGAACGAGCCAAAACTTATTTTTATTTTTAACCTTGGTCATCACGAGTGAGCTCACTCAAGCAGCATTTGCATTACACGTGGCCTCCGTGTTTAAAGGACAGGCATATTGTGACTGGCAACTGACAGAGACCAGGGAATTACCCCGTAGAGCCCTGAGACAAAGACATTCTCTATTCTACCAACGTCTGTACATAAATCAACCATTGGATGCACTTAGGCACAACTCGATAATCTTCTCAGTCAGGTCGGTATGTTTTCCCAGATAAATTAACGTAGAAATGATTAAAATGCAAAGTTTTTATACATGACACTTACATGTATTGTTCACGATCATGTAAAATATTTCCCATTATTTAAATGTATCATTGCTAATGCGGTGTATCCGTCAAGTTGAGAGTCTTTTTTGTATCTCACTTTCCTTTTCGTTTAATTCCCCCAACGCTTTTCTACATCTGTGTAGTAAGTATATATGGAGGCTTGACGACAGGATCGGAGGCACACTTATTTATTACACCAACACATTTATTACAGGTCACTTGGCTACAGGGATTCTCGACAGCTAACCCCTCTAACCTATACCAATTCCTCCACTACGGGACTAGGGGAGGCTATCTGTCCCAGCTTGGTTAAGCTGGGATCCCGGCTCCCTGAGTCACCAGACCAGCTTCGTCTGGGCTCTCGGGGCCACGCCACCGGCTTGCCCTGGTCGGCCCTTATAAGGACAGCGAGCCAGGGGAGCTCTGGGGCCTACACTAGCTGGTCTTCCGTCTTCTCTGGTTAAAGCTGAGTCCCGACCTCGAGCCCTCGAGCTCATCACCTTTTATAGGACTCGCCCCCGAGGGGGGGCCCGTGGGGGATACACATGCGGACGTCGGTGCGAGCGCCACCCTTGTGTACGGCCGTAACCCCGCCCCTTGTGTTTGTTGGCCATCCGTGGCCATGCATAATCACACCTCAACATTCGTAGCCATGCGCAATTACACCTCTACATCACCCCCCCTGTACAGCTCGCAGCCATCCCTGGCTGCAAAAAAAAATCAGAATAAAGGTGCATCCCTCACGAAAACCCCGTGTGTGTGCCTCGCGTAATTTTTAACAAGAACAAGAGAACCTTAACAAGAACAACAACAGGAAGAGAGAGAGAGAGAAAAAAAAATAACCCGACGCACCCCCCCCGAATAAATACCCCAAAACCAACATATATACACACACTCCGGACGCCACCCCTCCCATTGTCCGCAAGGCCCCCCAACGGCCGACCTCACAATAGTCTGCGCGTTTTGGCGCGCGTTCTCGCGGCGGGCCCGTCACAAGGGCCCGTCCTGGCACGCTCAGTGACGGTTGTTGACGGTCCGGGTGCAAGAGAGTCAGGCGTCGCTGCCGAGTGACCCCCGACCCCTCCGGGAGGGGTTGGTGGGTGTGGACCCGTCACTCCTGTTGCGCCTGGGGACGGAACAGTTGATGTCGGGTTAGGCGAGTGCAGCGACGTCGGGGAGTCGGCGGAACCCTCACACGTTTGGCCATGCATGTGTGTGTGTGAACCACGGGGCGGCGCGATGAATGGTTTCAACCTTGAGGGGTGCACATACCACCGGCGCCTCCCCCATTTGACGCGAACACATTGCGGCCGCAAGACCTGTACGACCTCCACTGGCCCCCGCCACGGCCGTACCAATTTTGACGAGGTTGCCAGCGGCACCTGGGGACAGTGCAACCACGCCCTGTCCCCTGGTTTCCATTTGACCACCTGCACCCGCCCCAACCGAAGCCTCTCGTTCGCCTTCTGGCGGAGTTCAGAATTTTGCACGGCCGCTTCCCGCGCCTCAGACAATTGAGCGATGTTAAATTTAACGTGTTCGGACAAATTAGACTTCGCCTGGGGCGCCGAGAGCTTCAGCTGGGTCGCCACAGGGGGGTTAACTTCGCGCCCATACATTAAAAAGAAAGGGGAAAATCCGGTGGCCGCATGGGGAGCCATTCTGTAGGCTTGCAACACACCGGCTATGCGGAGGTCCCAATCCGTCTGGGATACCGACACCTGCTGGGACAGCATGGACGTGATGGTCCGATGCAGCCGTTCCACCATCCCGTCAGTTTGTGGGTGATACGGAGAGGTCCGAACCTTCTCCGTACCCAAGAGGTCGCACACCTCACGTAGGAGTTTACCAGAAAAATTCCTACCCTGGTCAGTAAGCAGCCGTTCCGGAGCACCCTTGTCGAGGACATAGCCCTGGACAAAGGCCTCCGCGATGGCTGCTGCCGACTGGTTCGCCAGGGGCCAGGCCATAGGCCATCTCGTGAAGTATTCAACCCCCGTTAGTAAATACCTATTGCCCCTGGGTGTAGCGGGAAATGGGCCAAGTATGTCCAGAGCGACGAGCTCGTTAACCCGGGAAACTTTTATGGACTGCAGCGGAGGGTTGGACCCCCTAGCAGGTGGCTTCCTCTGCGCGCATTGCGTGCATGACCCCAGGAGATCCCCCACGTCCTTTTCCATGCCCGGCCAGAAGAAATCTAGCTGGAGCGTGGCAAAGGTCTTGTGAACCCCCAAGTGCAGAAGCCGCTCATGAACAGCCCATACCACCTTACCCCTTAAAGCAGCAGGCACCACGAGCCGCTGGCGCCGGGTTTTACCATCCCAGTGCATTAAAAGTCCCTGGAACAACCCCCACGAGTCAACGTTTTCCACCCCCTGGCCAACCCCCCCGGCGCGACGGCGCAGAGCGAGGAGGGAGGTGTCCTCCATTTGGAGGCGACCCCATTCCGCGACCGACAACCCCAGCAACGAATCCCTCCCTTCTTGCTCGATAGGACCCGAAACCGAAGGCGCATCG